GGGGGGGCGGCCGGGGGGCCGGTCGGGCCGGGCCCAAGGGCACCATGTCGTCTGGGGCCAAGGAGGGGGGCGGGGGCTCCCCCGCATACCACCTCCCCCACCCGCACCCGCACCCACCCCAGCACGCCCAGTACGTGGGCCCCTATCGGCTGGAGAAGACGCTGGGCAAAGGGCAGACAGGTGAGGCCGGCGGCGGGGGCACCTGGGGCGGCGCTGGGGGATGGGGCGGAGGCAGGGGGCGGCCGGCCGCCCGGACCCTGAGGGCCCTAGACAGGGGGCCGGGGTCCAGCCTGCCGGGGCCTCAGGACGGAGGGCTGAGGGCCAGGACTCCTGGGTCTGAGGGAGGTGGCACCTGGGGTCAGGACTCCTGGGTCTCAGGGAGGAAGGACTGGGGGCCTGGACTCCTGGGCCTGAGAGAGGAGGGCCTGGGGTCCTGGAGTTCTGGGGGTGACAGTGGGGAAGAGGCTGGGGGCCCAAATGCCCCCCCCCACTGGGGCGGAGGGTAGGGGGCCTCGGGCCATGGGCCGGAGCGTGGCCGGCCTGCAGGCGTGGGACTACTGCAGTGCGGGGCGGAGGTGTGGAGCGAGGACGCCTCCAGCGCTGTCCGCTGGCCTGGGGGGCCCCACTCTCCCAGAGTCGGGGTGACGGCTGTGAGGCCGGATCGTGGGACGTTCTGACAAAGTGTGGGAACTACAGATGCACAGGGGGGAGTGAGAAGCAAGAGCCCTGGGGGCGCCCGTGGGACGCGCTCACCCTCGGGTGCTCTTAGAGCAGGGCTGCTGGCCGCAGTCTCCTTCCTACGGGATGGGGGGGGTGCCAGGAGGAGGCTGAGCGCCCCAAGTTGGTCCCCGGGTCTCGGGTCTCATATGGAGCAGAGGGTTAGGGCCTGAGGGATGAAGAGGAGGGAGACGGCTCTCACATCCTGGTGGAGAGCGGAGGCAGGTGCTGGGGGCTGGAATTCCTGAGTCTTGGGGATGGAAGGGGCTGGGGGCCTGGAGTCCGAGGCAGGAGGAGACTCGGATCCTGGAGTCCTGCGTCCTGAGGAGAGGGGCCTGCGGTCCTGTGGCTGTGGTTCTTGGGGTCAGGAGGGGGCTGAGGACCTGAGATTTGCACGTTCCCAGCTATTAGACCTGAGAAGGAGGCTGGGGTCAGGGTTTGAGAGTATGTGTCGGATGGTTTGGGGACGGGGCAAAGATGACCTCATACCAGTTTGGAGACATGGAGCCTCTCAAAGAGAAGACTGAAGGGTTGGGAATCCAAGGAACTGATTTGCCGAGAGTGAGAGAAGTTTGAAGCAGGCTGACAGGGGAGACAAAACTGGAGAAGACACCAGGAGGGAAGAAGTTGGATGGAGGTGACATTAAGCCGGACTTGAGAATTTAAAGGACATGTTATCGGGAGGGGCCAGTCCCTGGAGAAGGAGACTCTGCTGGGTAAAGCAGAGGGTTAGCAAAAAAAGAGGAAGGCCCGAGGGACACGGGTGGACACGGCTGCAAGGATGAGGCCAAGCACGGCACGGATTGTGAGGAAGGCACGGACCGGGTGTCGGAGTCAGAAACAACTCAACAACGCCTAACAACAACAAAGGGGATGAGAAACAGGAACATACGGGAGCAGGCCAGCTTGAGGCGCAGAGAATCAAGGGGTGTCTAGAGGAGGGGACAAGCGCTGGGTGGAGTCAAGGGGCAGAACTGGAAGCAGCCAGGGAAGGTATTGTGTTTTACTCAATGGCGGCTTTTGTCGTCCCTCCGGGAGTTCAGGTCGGGGGAACAGCCTTCGGGAGAGGAGGAGGGGAGAGGGCGGGATGGGGGAACTGAAGCCCCGAGGGATGACCTTTCCAATCTCGTCCTTCCAGGGCTGGTGAAACTAGGGGTTCACTGCGTCACGGGCCAGAAGGTCGCCATCAAGATTGTGAACCGAGAGAAGCTGTCAGAGTCGGTGCTGATGAAGGTGTGCGGGGCCGGGGGGCCTTTGGGGTGGGCGGCTGGGGGCAAGGTCAAGCTGACCTCCGCTCTTGGGTCCTCGCACCTTCCCCAGGTGGAGCGAGAGATCGCCATCTTAAAGCTCATTGAACACCCGCACGTCCTGAAGCTCCACGATGTCTATGAGAACAAGAAGTACCTGTAGGTATCGATAGACACCCAGGCTACCCGACACTGCTCCCGGTTGGTGGGGGAGGACCTTGCGGGGAGCAGGGTCTAGAGGGAGCTGGGGAAACTTGGGCCGTCCTGGCTGAGACACTGAAGGTGCCCCGTGCCCCCTCAGTACACACCCATCCTCCGCCTTGGTCCTACATAGCCCCTGGGTGTGGTGCACACCAGCAGCAGGCAGCCAGACTGGAGCCGTCCTGTGGGGTTAACTGAGCCCATCCCTGCACTACAGTGGACACGTGTAGCCCCATGGAATCTACATGCACCCAGCCAGACACTGCTTGCTAAGGGCAGGTGTGTCCTGGTTGCTAAAGCACCCCCCCAACATGACTGGGTGCTCTAGCTGGACACCCCAACAATGGGTCTCTTCAAGAGTTCTGAGTACTCAAAGTCAGTCACCCCCCAGAAAGGATGGGGGCAGGGTCCAGCTGTCCAGACTCCGGAGAATGGCCCTTTGTCTGGACTCCGGAGACCCAAGGGACAGCTGGGTCAGCCCTACTGCCCCCACCACGCAGTCCCCGGGATAAACGGACCCCGTCTCCCATCAGATGCTCTGTGGATTCCACAGGCAGGAAGTAGCCCCAGGTACTGATGGGAAATGTAGTTCTCAGGCTTCCCCACCTTGTCTCCCAAATTTCACTCCCGCCCTACTGTTCATGGGACGGCTCGCTGAAGTCTGTGCTTCATAGAGAATTTCCTTCTATGGCTGGATGGGAATTGAGATCTCAGCCTACCAGAAACTCATAGAAATTGAGCTTTGGTGTCTCGGGGGCTGATGGGAGTTAAGACTTCCTGCTACCTGATGGGATTTGGAGTCTTGCGGATGCAGGTGACTGATGGGAACTGGGAGCTTTTTGTCCCAGAGGCTGCTGGGTGTTGTCAGTTTTTGTTCTGTTTTGTTGTGGGGAGATAACGCACACCAAGACACTGGCTAGTACAGTAACATCTACAGTTGCGATTCAGTGACATTGTTTCAATTTTTCATGTTGTACCACCATTGTCACCATCCTTTAGGGGACTGGGAGTTTAAATTCTCCCAGAGGCTGATGGGAGTTAGTTTTGTTTTTTTTTAATCTCCCAGGGACTGATGGGAGTTGTAGTTTTCACCTCCCAGATGTTGACTTAGCTTGGTGCACACCGTAATTGCTATTGTCTGAGAATTTATGACAATTTGAGTTTCTTCATCCCAGAGCCTTATGGAAATTTGAAGTTTGGCTTTCCAAGGGCTAATGGGACTAGTTACAGTTAACCAGTTGCCATCAAGTTGATTTGTGTTCATGGTGACACCATGTTTGTACAACAGAACTGTGCTCCATAGAGTTTTCAATGTCCATGACCTTTCAGATGTAGGTCACCAGGCCTTTCTCTTCAGGCACCTCTGGTTGGACTCAAACCTCCAAACTTGCAGTTAGCAGCCAGGAACTAACCAGGGACTCCTCTTATGGGAGCAGCTTATGAAAATTGAGGTTTCTGACCTCAGGTGCTAATGCACTTTCCTTATCCCTTGAGGAAAAATAGGAGTCAAAGTGTTAAACCCCAGAAGTTGTCATGGCTGCCCAGGGCCTGAAAGGAATTGATTTTGGCTTCCCAGAAGCTGAAGGGAATTGGAGGCTTTACTTCCAGGGGATTATGGGAGTTGTAGTCTTTTCCTCACAGAAATTGACCCTTGAGTGGGCACACACTGCAAATATCAGTCCCTAAGTCATGTTCGGTGAGCTCTGGTGGCACAGTGCCTATGGCATTACACTGCTAGCCAGAAAGTTGGTGGTTCAAACCCATCAGCCACTCCACAGAAGAAAGATGGGGCAATCTACTTTCGTAAAGGTTTACCTCCTTGGAAACCCAATGGGGGTGATCGTGAGTCAGAATCAACTCGATGGTAGTGGGTTTGGGCTTGAGTAGTTACTGTTCAGTTGCTAACCAGAAGGTGGGAGGGTCAAGTCTACGCAAAGGGGCCTCAGAAGAAAGCCTTGGTTATCTGCTGCTGAAGGTCACACCATTGAAGTCGTAGATCGGCTCTGACACACAGTGGGGTCACTGTGAGTTGGAATTGACTTGATGGCACCTGGTTTGGCAAATGTCACTGCCCAAGAAGGGATGAGAACTCCACTCTCCTCAGCCCAGAAGCTGATGGGAATGACAGGCTGGGCTTGCCAGAGGCCAGTGGGACACAGACCTGTGAGAACTGGGGTCTCTGACTCCAGCTGCTCTTGAAGTCACCTCGTCCCCTGAGGACAACTAGGCGTCAGAGCCATGAGTCCTGATGTGGACCTGGGAGAACCTTCCTCCCAGGGCCTGATGGGACCTGGCGTTCTAGGGCCCAGCAGGCGGTGAGAGTTGAGGTGTTGGGCTGGGGTGGGGCTGGGGGAAGTGGGAGCGGAGGCCTTTGGCCCCCCCGTACGGCCCCTTGCAGCCCTGAGCCGTCTCCATCCCCCAGGTATCTGGTCCTGGAGCACGTCTCTGGAGGTGAGCTGTTTGACTACCTGGTGAAGAAGGGGAGACTGACGCCCAAGGAGGCCCGGAAGTTCTTCCGGCAGATCGTGTCGGCGCTGGACTTCTGCCACAGCTACTCCATCTGGTGAGGGGCGGCCTGACGAGGGGCGGCTGAGGCCTGCCCAGAGGGCAGGGCCGGGGGACATGGCTGACCGGGGGACGTGGCAGCCCCAAACCAACGCTTAACTATTTTTTTAAATTGAGAAGTAGCTCACAGCATAAGATTTAGGAGCCCAGCTGGCTCGACAGTTAAATCCTGGGCTGCTAACCAAAGGGTTGGTGGTTCGAACCCACCCAGTGCCTCCACAAGAGAAAGACCTAGCAATCTGCTTCTGTGACAGTTCCACTCTGTCCTCTAGGGGCGCTGTGAGTAGACTTGATGGCAGTAGGTTGTTGTTTGTTGTGAGCTGGTGGTGTTAGGTGTTGTCTCTGACTCATAGCAACTCTACCTACAACAGAACGAAGCATTGCCCACTACCCGTCTCTCAGTTTGTCCTGTGGAGGTTTTTGCATTGCTGTGAGGCTGGAGGCTATGTCACAGGTATTTCAAGTACCAGCAGGGTCACCTATGGAGGACAGGTTTCGGTGCAGCCTGCAGACTAACACAGACTGGAAAACACAGGCCAACAACTACTGAAAAAATTGGCCACTGCAAACCTTACTGTATGATAGCTCTGCATTTAATCTTTCAAGACCTGTTTTCCACAGCAGCTGCACCATTTTACATTCCCACCAGTAGTGTATGAGAGTCCCCACCCCCATGCTCACCAAAACCTGTTATTATCTGGCTGTTTCATTTGACTGCTAACCAGAAGGCCAATGGTTCAAACCCACCAGCCACTCCTTGGAAGGAAGATGGGGTAATCTGCTTCCATGGTGATACCACTTCAGAAACCCAAAGAAGGGTCACTTTGAGTCGGGTCCAATTCCACGGCAGTGAGTTTGGGTTTTGGTTTTCATCATAAACAACAAAACTAAGCCCAACTTCCTTGCTGTTCAGTGAGTTCTGACTCTGCCGACCCATGTGCGTCTGGTAGAGCTGTGATCTGGGAGGGGTCGGTCACCAGGACTTTCCTCTGAGGCACCTCTGAGTACCTTCAGATGATCCCAGAGCACAATTGGCCAGGCAATTCCGACCCACGGCGCCCCTAGAGGACAGAGTGGAACTGCCCACAGGGTCTCCAAGGCTGTCAGTCTTCACAGAAGCAAAGCCCAAACCACACCCACTGCCTGGAGTCCATTCTGACCCACAGCGCCCCTAGAGGACAGAGTGGAACTGCCCACAGGGTCTCCAAGGCTGTCAGTCTTCACAGAAGCAAAGCCCAAAGCAAACCCACTGCCCCGGAGTCCATTCCGACTCACAGCGCCCCTAGAGGACAGAGTGGAACTGCCCACAGGGTCTCCAGGGCTGTAATGTTCATGGAAGCCCAGTGCTGCTGAGCCCTGGTGAGTGGGCACTGCCAGCCCTTCAGTTACCTGCTGGGTGCCCAAGCACTGCACCACCAGGGCTCCTTCTCGAGCCACTAACACTTGTGAAATGGTGTTTCCTGTGATCTTGAGTTGCAAATCCTTACTGACCAACGACTTTGAGCATCTTTTCTTGTACTTATTGGCCATTTGTGTACCTTCTTTGGAGAAATAGCTGGATCCTTTGCTCATTTTTAAAAAAAATTGTTATTGTGATTTAGGTGAAAGTTTACAGAGCGAATTCATTTCCATACAGCAGCTCATGCACGTTTGGTCTCATGACGTTGACCGCAACTCCCCACAGAGTAACAGCTCTCTTCCCACTTCCTCCCTGCAGCCACCTCTCCCTTGTCTTTCCCTCCCAGGCACTCCCACCCCCAGAGCTGTCTCCCTGTGCAAACGCTGTTTATCTACCTGATGTAAACGTTCACCCCGTGTGCCTGTCTGCTGTTTGGCTGGAGGCCACAGGAGCGAGTTCAGTTCCAGACCTGACGGGCAACTAGGGGCCATAGTCTCAGGGGTCCCACCAGGCTCTAGCACACCAGCAAAGCTCGTCCTTTGTTTGATTTTGAGTTTTGTTCTACATCGTTCTCCCACTCGATCCAGAGTCTCCTGCACCGATCCCTCTCTGAGGGGTTGACAGCGGTAGCCGGGCACCATCTAGTTTTTCTCGTCTCAAGGTCATATACCTTTGCCCGTTTTTCATTGAGTCATTTGTCTTTTTATTATTAAATTCTGAGAGCCCTCCTCTGTTCTAGGAGTGAGCCATTATGAATGCTTGGTTTGCCAGTGACAGTTCACAGCCTTGTCTTGTGAAAACCAAGTTTGTGATGTGGATTAATTCCCGTGTGTTCATTCTTGTTTTTCTTTTATAATTCATGCCTTTTCAGTCCCCTTTAAGCACTCTTTCCCCAACCCAAGCTCACTAAGATTTTCCTTTGTGTTTTGTTTTAGAAGTTGATACTTTCCACATAGCCCTGGTGGCACAGTGGTTAAACGCTCAACAACAAACTGAAAAGTTGGTGGTGCAGACTCACCAGCCACGAGCTGGTGGAAAGATGTGGCAGCTGCTTCCATAAAGATCTTTCTTGTCTTACTCTCCAGGGGCTGGTCACTCCTGTTAAAATGTACAAAGTGCGGGGGACCAAGTCTCACATCCTTGCTTCTAAGGAACATTCTGGCTGTACTTCCTCCACGACAGACTGGTTCATTTTCTGTTGGTCGCTGGTACATCCAGTATCCTTTTCCAGCATCGTAATTCAATGCATCAATTCTTCTTCCGTCTTCTTTATTCCTCGCCCAGCTTTCACACGCACGTGAAGCGACTGACAGTACCATGGCTTGGGTCGGGCACCCGAGTCCTCACAGTGACGTCTTTGCTCTTTAACACTGTACAGAGGTCTTTTCTTGGCAGATTTCCCCATGGCAATCTCTGATTTCTTGACTGCTGCTTCCATGGGTGTTGATTGTGGATCCAAGTAAAATGAAATCCTTGAGAACTTTGTTTTTTTTCGATTTATTGTGATGTTGCTTACTGGTTGCGAGGATTTTTGTTTGCTTTGAGTTGAGGTGTAATCCGTACTGCAGATCGTAGTCTTTAATCTTCATCAGGAAATGCTTCCAGTCATCTTCACTTTCAATAAACGACATTGTGTCGTCTACGTGTCACAGGTTGTTAATGAGTCTTCCTCCAATTCTGATGCTACAGTCTTCTTCATATGGTCCAGCTTCTCAGATTATTTGCTTGGCACACTGATTGAATAAGTATGATGAAAGGATACAACCCTGACACACTCCCTCCTGATTTTAAACCATGCAGTGTCCCCTTGTTCCATTCAAACGACAGCCTCCATCCGGGTCCCTCATGAGCACAGTTAAGTGCTCTGGAATTCCCATTCTTCTCAATGCTATCCACAGTCTGTTATGGTCCACACAGTTGAACACCTCTGCAGAGTCAGTGAAACACAGGGAAACATCTGGGTGGTATTTTCTTTCAGCCAAGGTCCATCTGACAGTAGCTATGATATCCCTCATTCCTTGTCCTCTTCTGAATCCTGCCTGAATTTCTGGCAGTTCCCTGACTGTGTACTGTAAGGATTGTTATTGTTATGTGCCCTCGAGTCGGACCCGACTCATAGCAACCCCTCCTTGAGTTTCTGAGGCAGTATCACTACGGAAGTAGATTGCCCCATATTCCTTCAGAGGAGTGGCTGGTGAGTTTGAACCGTCAGCCTTCTGGTTAGCAGTCAAGTGCCTTAGGCAATACGCTACCAGAGCTCCCACTATAAGGATTACAGCCTAGGAAACCCAAAAGGAGAAGTTTGACTTTGCCCTAGAGGGTCACTATGAGTCAGATTGATGGCAGTGGGTTTGCTTTTGGTTTTTCATACTTTCAGCGCTTATGGTTAGGTCTGTGATCCATTTCAAGTTTGTTTTTTGTACATAATTTGAGGTAAGGATTGGAGTTCATATTTTTTGCAGACAGACGTTCCTATGAAAAACTTATGTCCTTCTCATTGAATGGCTTTAGTCCCTAAAAATAGTACTGAATACGTAGCTTTTTCACGTAGTTCTGGGTGGTGCAAACGGTTAAGTGCTGACGACCAGCTGTAAAGTCAGAGGTTCGAATCCGCCCAGTTGAGCCACAGAGGAAAGACCGGCAAGCGGCATAAACCAGCTGCCCGCACGGGCACCACAGCCCGGAAAACCCACAGAGCAGTGCTGCTCCGCACCCGGCGGTGTCGCGAGGGCAAAGCGACTGGACGGCAGCTAGCCGCGATGCCCGATCACGGTGCAAATCGGACCCTTCAGCGCCTGTTTCTGTCGGCACATCTCGCCCTCTGGAGGTGTCGGTGAGGAGTCTTGAATAAACCACAGACGCCCAGAAGAACGAACAAATCTGTCCCGGAGGAAGTCCAGCCACGATGCCCCTTAGAAGCAAGGGTGCCCAGCCTTCCTCTCACGTACCGTGGACACCTTATCAGAAGGGACCAGTGCCCGGAGAAGGACGTCGTGCTTGGTTGAGCAAAGGGTCAGAGGAAGAGGAGACCCTCGATGACAAGGACTGACACCGTGGTCGCGAGCATCGGCTCAAGCCTAACAAGGATTTTGAGGCTGGCGCAGGACGGGGCAGGGTTCCAGTCTCACGTACACGGGGTCGCTATGAGCCGGGGCCGAGTCGACGGCACTGAGGAACAACAGCAAATCCTTGTCGGAGCAGACTGCCTGGTCTTTCTTCCATGGAGCACCTGGGTGTGTGTGAACCCCTGACCTTTCAGCTGGCAGCTCAGCGTTTAACTGTTTGTGCCACCGGGGCAGTCCCAGTGCCACGGGGAACCTTGGGAAACATCACGCGGTGTGAGATGAGTCCGTCGAACAAGGGCAGAATCTGTGTGACGTGACCGTATGTGATGAGCAAACGTGCAGCGACCTGAGCGGTGACAGGCATGGGAGGGGAGGGGGCACTGGCTTCCCAGGACGCACAGTGAACCGAGAAGGATCAGACCGGGGCCGGTGTTATGCAGCGTGCAGAGCACCCTGATGTCGTGGGGTCGTGTGCGTGGGAACCGCCGCTGGTGCATTTTTGTGTTGTAGAGAATGTGTTTGACAGATTACTCAGACTCGACGGATTCCCCCCACAGTGACACCGATTCAGTTTCTCGTGCTCACAGCCACCCTCAGCCTCCTATTCCAAGTCGCTCCTCCCCGTTAGCTCACGTAGCTACAAGTGTTCTGATGTATGTCTGCACCACAAGGAAAGCAAACCAAATCGTTTCCGCGAGGGTCGTGCTCTGAGAGGGAGTGAGTGGGGCTTGGGCCTCGTGGGGGCGGTGGAGAGCTGAGCCCCAGCCCCGTCTCAGCCACAGAGACCTGAAGCCCGAGAACCTGCTTTTGGACGAGAAGAACAACATCCGCATCGCCGACTTCGGTATGGCCTCCCTGCAGGTGGGCGACAGCCTGCTGGAGACCAGCTGCGGGTGAGTGGGGCCCCAAGTCCCCGGGAGGGCTCGCAAGCCGCGGGAGGCTCACGCCACCTCTCGCCCCCAGGTCCCCCCATTACGCGTGTCCGGAGGTGATTAAGGTGAGTGAGGGCAGGTGGCGGGGAGAGGGTGGCGAGCCGAGGGAGACGTGGGCGCCGTGACGGGTCCTTCTCCCTGCAGGGGGAGAAGTATGACGGTCGGCGAGCGGACATGTGGAGCTGTGGGGTCATCCTGTTTGCCCTGCTTGTGGTAAGGAGCCCGCCCGTCCCGTCCCGGGGGTCGCTGCGCTGGGGGGATTATCACCATCCACCAGTGGTCGGCTCCGACCATGGCATCCGCGTGTCACTGAAGAACTTCCCTCAGTAGGGTTCTCCGTGGCGGATTTTCTGCAAGGACGTCACCAGCCCTCTTCTGAGGCGCCTCGGGGAGGTTTCCAGGCTCCCGGCCTTCCAGTGAGCAGCTGGGCACCTAACTGTTGGCACCCGGGGGGCCTCTGACCCAGAACCTCCTCCAGGAGGAACGCGGTGGCCGACAAACCTCCCCCGGGAGGAATGCACTGGCTGTCTAGTCAGTCGTACTGCCGGCGGCCCCAGGCACTGCTCCGGGCTCTGGAGGCGGCCGGGCCAGCCTTCTGAAGGGCCTCTGGGCAGACTTGTGCTTAGCGGCCGAGTGTTACCCCACCCCCAGTCCGTCTGCCTCCTGCTGTTTGCCGTTACTTCCCCACCCGCCTCCTGTGGTAGAGTTGTTCCTGTTCCTCGGTGCTTGTGGTCTGTAAGTTGCCCTCAATGCTGAGCTGCCTCTCAGGGAAATACCTGGTTATGTCCCTGCAAGCCTCTGGTCACAACCTTGTTATCAGCCGACCAGTACACACCCTTGTTTACATGTGTTTCTGTTTAAAGGCAGCTTATTTCATACATATCGTTGCTTTTTTGTTGTGATTGTGATTTGGGTGGGAGTTTACACAGCAGACATTTTCCATTCAGCAGTTCATAGGCTCTTGTGTTTTTCATTGATTGCAGTCCCACCACGCGACGGCTGTCTTCCCGCGTCCTCCCTGCGTTTTCCGTTTCCATCCCTCCTTCCCTGTCCTCCCTGCCTTCTAAGCGCTCTCCTGGGTGCGCGCTGCCCTTCGGGTCTCGTGGGGGGCTGGTTGTAAGGCGTGGATGCTTTCCTGCTGCTATTGTTCGCTTCACGGGGCTGTCTGTGGCTTGGCTGCAGGTTGAGTCACGCAGGTGAGCTCAGTTCCAGGCACGAGGGGTGTCTAAGGGCCATAGTCTAGGGGTCCCACCAGTCTCTATCAGCCTGGTCTTTTTTATGATTTTGAGTTGTCTTCCCAATTTCCCTGCACTCTATCCAGGACCTCCCACTGGGAGCCCTTTCCGAGGTCAGCACTGGTAGCCGGGCACCATCTAGTTCTGGTCTCGGGACGGTGCGCGCTGGGCCTGTCTGTCCCTCCTTTGGGTGACTGTCCCCTAGGGCCTTTGAGTCTTTTCGCTCGGGACAGTTGCACCTTAGATCTGCGGTTGCTCCTCTGACGTTGACTCAGAGCTGGCGGCACTAACTCACGCCGGAGCAAAGCCTGCCTGACGCACGAATTTCTCTGTGAGACACATCACACCCTGCTTGCGCTTAAGAACGCTAGCCGGCACTGCAGCCTCGGGCCACTTTCCACAGGGACGTTACCAACAGAAACCACGAAATGGGGGAAAGGCCCCCAACACGTGGCAACAAGCAGACCACTGAGGGACACTGGTTTGCAGACTGCGGCTGAGGCAGGAAGGTGGAGTGTGGCCTTGTCAGCCGCACGGGAGGCGCACGTCGGGCGCCTGACTGTCTCTGTGCCGCCTCTATCCACGAAGGGCCCAGAACCGCCCGCCCTATTGGTTGCTGTTGCGGCTCTGTTTCAGTGGGCGGGGAATCGACAGATACCAGACTTCGCAAATAATGAGTGTGACCTGCATCCCCGTTGATGGCTCACCCATCCACTGCAGCGCAGACGCTAGTCATTCCACGTAACACGTGGCACAAACTGCTTGCACTTGGCTGGTAACCAGGAGGTTGGGGTTCAGTCCTGCCCCGCGGTATTCCAGAAGAAACAGGCCTGCTTAAGATGAAAGCAAACAACAAACCTGCTGCCGTGAGTCCATGCCGACTCATAGCAACCCTTCAACAGTGGAACTGCCCCATAGGGTTTCCCAGGCTGTCAGTCCTTCTGGAAGCAGGCTGTCCCATCCTTTGCCTGCACCATGGCTGCCAGGTGACCTTTGTTAGTAGCTGAGAGCTTTAACCACTGTTGTTGTTGTTGTTGTTATGTGCCGTCGAGTTGACCCCGACTCATAGAGACCCCTCCTTAGGTTTCTGAGGCGGTATCACTATGAAAATAGATTGCCCCATCTTCCTTCTGAGGAGTGGCTGGTGGGTTTGAACCGCCAGCCTTCTGGTTAGCAGTCAAGTGCCTTAGGCACTACGCCACCAGAGCTGCACCGCCATGAAGATTACAGCCAAGAACACCCGGCGGAGTTCTACTCTGTAACACGGGGTGTCTCCTAGGTCACAAGGCAACACAGAAACAAGTGTTGCATGTTCATTGACCGTCCCACCCTGTCCTGCCAGTGCCCACGTGGCTGAGCTGCCGCAGCACCCCAGGCAGCCAGCAGGGGGTGTGCCAGGGCACACGCGCACTCTCTCTCCCTCTCTCCCTCTCTCTCTCTCACACACACACACACACACACACACACCCACACCCCAGGCTGGATGGGGCGTGGCTTAACGCTCCCCTTTGAAATTATCCCAGAAGGGACCCAGGAGGGGGCTGCAGGAGGGGAGGGAGGGAAGAAACCAAGGTGAGACTGGGAAGAGGGGAAGTTCCCCTGGGGCAGGGGTGTGGTTTGGTTATAGCTCCATCCCTAATGGCTACAACAGAGCCTAGCATATGGCAGGGTGCGTTGAATTTCTGAGTGACAACAGCCAAGATGTACACAGTCCTTACTGTGTGCTGGGTGAGGGGCTCTGGTGGCGCAGTGCCTAACGTGACGCAGTGCCTGAAGCATTACATTGCTAACCAGAAGGCTGGCGGTTCAAACCCACCAGCCACTCCTCGGAAGGAAGACTGGCCAATCTGCTTCTGTAGTGATACTGCCTCGGAAACCCAAGGAGGGGTCGCTATGAATCGAGTTTGGTTTGGTTTGGCTTCTGTGGTAGGTAAGGAGTTCTGGTGGTGCTGTGGTTAAGGCTTGGGGCTGCCAACTGAAAGGCTGGTTGTTCAAACTCACCCGCGGGAGACAGATGACGCAGTCTGCTTCTGTAAAGATTGACAGCCTTGGAGACCCTGTGGTGCAGTTCCACTCTGTCCTCTAGGGGCGCTGTGGGTCAGAATGGACTCCACGCAGT